TGCCATTGTAATAGCTACAAAGTTATTTTTAATTCTTGTAGGTTTAGTTATCAAATTCTTGTTGCTTTGTGAACAACAAATGTGAAATATATTGCTGATTGGGTTTACCACTTTAAGTATTTGTTGATTCTAAATTCCTGGAAAATAATTAAATGATGTACTAACACATATTTTTAAAATTGTTATTTTTTCTTCACAAAAAGAAATGGAAAAAATTGAACAAATGATTTGAATATCAAGATTATGTGTGTGTATATATATATATATATATATATATATATATATATACTAATTTAATTGCAAAGTGTCTACAAAATATTTTTTAGCAAACAAGAAGTCAAATATTACTAGAATTTATTAACTTTTTTTATAGAATATTTAAGATATTTTACTTTGTATAAGTATTGTATTATAAAATGAGAAATTTTAAAAGTTTTTTTTTTTTTTTTTTTTTTTTCTCTTAATACAAAAAGAATAAATCGTTTGTAATGCTGAAAATTATTATCGAAGTAAATCTTACTTCTCAAAACTAACTTTGTCTTCAAAATGCATAATACCTAAATCATACTTATTTGCACTACTTTACTTAAAAAGTTGGTTTGTAAAAGCATATATAAACCCCTCGTTCACATGTAAACACTTCTTAGAAAAATTTAGATCCCTTTAAATGTCATAAAGCTTGCCATAACTTTTTCCAATAAAATCATTATTTTTCTTCTTTATTTTTTTAATTTCTACTACAAAATAGATGTTTAAGGTCCAAAAGATAGTGGATGTATACACGATTATTTCACAAAAAAAAACACGTCAAATTTTACATGTAATTTTCTTAAGTACACATTTCATAAACTGTATACAAAATTTTCATTAAAAAATTGTCAACAAACGTAACACATAAAATGTACACTAATAAGAGTTTAAGCCTGCAACTATTGACAATAATTCTTTGTTGCCACATATGCCAAATTGGTATAGGTCTTTTGGTTACTTTAACCTTTTTTTTAGGTATTTTTATGATTATATTAAATTGATAATCTAGCAGAAAATAATAGTCCTGCCACTTATTTTCTTCTAGATTCTAATACAATTATTTTTTTAATTGATTTTTTTATCCTAGTTTTCTTGAATGGTTAAAAGTGCCACATCCTTACATTATTGATATTAAAGGATGCTAAATCATAATTCTTCAATTATATTATAGAAGAGGTAAACACAACATGTAAATATGTAAATATGTAACATGGTAGGATATCTTTGTGGATTGCCACAATTTAAGGATATCTATGTCAAAACAAATAACAGAATTAGAGCCACATGATATTATGTAATTAAATGATATTTATAATCATAATAATAATAATAAAATTATATCTCTATTTAAATCTATTCCCAATTTTAAAAAATAACATTTTCTGTTATATTTGCCAGTTATTTCTTGCTATTTAACTTTTGGTTCTACCCCAAAAGGTAAATCTGCATTCTAAAACAAACCTATTTGCGGTAAAAAACATTAATTGAGAATGAATTTGAAAACTAATATCAAAACATGTAAAATTTATCCTCATAAAACATTTATGAAGAATATTTATCAAGTTTAAATTTTCCAAATCATAAGCCTTACTAAACCGTCAATTTTTAAAATTTTTAAAATTTCTAATCAGATTTTGCTTGTACTCTCAATATTTTTACATACAATGAACTTTATTTTTGGTATTTTTCTAAGTTTTAGTTTTTATGTAAAGATCAAAATAATAAAATTACAATGATACTAAAAACAATGTTAAAAGTTACCATGTATTCAACCATAACAAACAAAGAAGAACATCGAAACTTTTGTTTTGTGTCATTTTCTTAATACGAAACTTTCTTATATCTTTTGTGTCCAAATAAAATCCAAAGAAGATGCCCAATTACTTTTTTACACTCCCATTAGTTGTTTAAGTCTACCCAATTTTGATTTATCCATGTTGGCTTTATAATCCTTACATGCAAGTAAATTATAAACTTTGTTTAGTTTGTTTTTAGAATACATGTAGGAAAAATTAGCAAATGAGTTTTAATCAATTATAGCATTATGTAAATTGTTGACTTGAAAATGTAATTTTCAAAAAATGGTTTTTTTTTTTTACAGAATATTCAAAATTATATTGAATGTCTTGAATTTGATTCATCAGAAATATGCCAAATAAAGGATATTTTCGTAGCTTATTAAAAAAATGAAAATGATATAGTTATTTTTATCTTTGTAAATACACCAAGCTTAGTTATTTCAATAATTCGTAAAAGCCTTGGAATAATTTTATTTTTTACTTCTTCCTAAAAAAACAAAATTTCCGACATTACTAGATGTATAGGCTTTTTCATTTTTATAATTTCTATTATATTATCTTGTAAAATAATCCATAGTTTTTGGTTTTTATCACGTATTGTGTAAGTTCAGATAAATACAACATTACAATTCAATTTGAGCATTGTTAGATGTTATTTGAATATAGTCTAAGTTTCAAGCCAATTGAGGCCCTATATGTTATTGAGGAGAAGTAAAGATCAAATTTAAACATGATTTTTAAAATTCAGTTTTTTTTAAAAAAAAATAAAAAAATCAGTAGATTTCAACTTATATTTGAATTGATAATAATGTGTCCTTCAAATGAAAAAATAACCATTGTCGAATAAGAAAAATTTAGAAATGAAAGAGTTGAGTGATAGAACCACTATCTTTTTTAGATGAGTTGTTCTACCAATTCTAATTAAAAGAAACTTAAATGTGATTAAACATATCTAAATTGGTTTAAATATGATTATTTATATATTTGTTATCATATTGGTGCATCAATTCTTTTGTACTTAGAACGTACATTAAGTTTTTTAATCAATCAAAACCAAGTATTTTTTTTCATTGCTTGTTTTACAAAAAAAAAAAAAAAAAAAAAAAAAAAAATCATTTTACAACATTTTAATATATAAATAATTGAAAATACCCTCTCCCCCCACATACAAACACCTTCCTCTGTCTAATAATATCAAAAATGAATTGTAGTATATAATCATTTTCGTTCTCTTGTTTTTTCAATTAGAACTTATTTAATTATTTATTACATATAGAGATAACACACCAAAACTACCAACAACACATATATTGTTTTTCTTCAACGTTTCCGGAATGCAAAGTAAAGCAAAGTAAAGTATTATTAATGGAGTTATGTGCAACTGAAATATATTGATAATATTGAACATCTTATTCACTGACTGTGAATACTGTTGTTCCAAGTTTAACGTCTATAATAGGAATAGAAAAAAGTAAATAGAAAAATGAACAGAAGAATGAATGGGCGGCAATGGCACGACAGGGCGGGTGCCACGTTGGATGAGCCAGACCCATCCAGCTCGACATCCTCGGGGCGGCGCCGTCCTGCTTTCTGACTTTAGCTCCTGCCACGTCGGATTTCATCCGTGTCCAGCTATGAATAGCCCGACATGCCACGGTGGCCAATGCCATGTCATCATGCCAGCTAGGCAGCTCGGCGATTCCGTCCTTGGTTTCGCCCTCCTTTTTCTCAAGACCAGCGTTTGTTGGGGTGTGTTTTTGAATCTTAAAACGAGGGGAGGACGCCTTTTACTTTTTGGAACAAAATAATAATAATAATAATAAAAAAAATAAGAAAGAGTTGCACACACTGCCATGAGACTTTGTGTGTCGTAGGTTTGACAAAATTGGAGAAACAATTCTTCGTATTTAAAAATTTAAGGACGTCAATGTGGAACTCATTGAAATGAGATTTTCCTTGATAATATTATTAAATTATAGGTATGCATTATATATATATATATATATATATATATATATATATATATATTTCTTTTACACGTACACATACATTTTTTCAATATAACATATACAAGTTAAGAGTTTTTGATTCTTACAAAACCTTACATTGGATTTGTAAGACTGGGTTGGTTGTAGATTAATATTGAACTTTGCTATTTACAATAATTATTTGGAAAAACAAATCCATGCGTCAACGGCCAGGGATTGTAATTCTCCTTTAAACTTGGGGCAGAAAAAAATCCTTCGAGTAAAGCCTATTTCATAAGGAAGACGTATATATATATATATATATATATATATATATATTAACTCTTTTAATAATAAAAGAAAACTACATTCACTTCTATTGCCTGAGATTAAATGCCCCATTACGGCAACCTTCCAATTTGTAATGTGGTCCAAATGAAGATGAAATTGATTTCACAAATCCTAAAATTTACATAAGCGTTTCAAGAAACTAGTGTGCATATATATATATATATATATATCTACACACACATATATATTCCAATTCTCAACACGTGGGTAGTAAATTTGACACAAGAAATTTCTGTCACGCTGGAACACATTTTCACATTTTTGTATAACTACTGAATTAATACAACGACTGAATGTTATACTATAATTTTTGTATAACATTCAGTCGTTATGTTAATTTCCAAAAATGTGAAATTTTGGAAATTAGCAAACTAGTGATATTACGTCCACGACAACACGAACAGTTTAAAACAGAAACATGTACAATTTATGATTCGCTGTGCTGATTAAATTCAGTTGAATTGTCCATCATGCCAGATTTGATTTTCCATTCAATTCTGTCCCCGCCTCCGGTCTCACCCACTCCCCATTTTAAAACATTAAATAAAGGAGCTTTATGTGGCGCTACATGAGTGTTGGTGTGTTGGTATGTGTGTGTGTGTGTCGTGGCTTTTTGTTGTCTAGTTTTTGGAAATAGATCGCCATTATTAAGACATTGACAGAGTTGCCTGTCCCACTGCCTCCTCAGAATTGCTAAATCTGAAGCTTGTGATGGTGTACCCGCAGTTGTACTACAACTTGGCCTTATCTGCTTATTTAAAAATTGCTTACGCTTTGCACTGCCCTATCAAGATGTATATATATATATATATATATACACACTCACGCATACAATCGAAGGAGTTGCAGGAAATGATCTGTGACATTCATATTTATTCGAAGTCGACGAAGTTGATCAGTACATTTTCACACGCACACACACACACAGATCTATAACTATCTGTGAAATCGATGAAGGAAATGACCAGTAGCAATGTGTGATCAGCGGCGCCGTTTCAGACCCCGGGGAGAGCAAGCCGGGAGTTGAACAGTACACATAGATCGATATTGAGATGACTAGCAGGACCCGGTGTATCCGTCCGACACATGTGTGCATCAATACCAGCGGTACTGATGAATCCTGCATGCTGGAGTTAGAAATCCGTATACCCCCTCCTCCATTGACCATTCGCCGTGGACAATCCCCACTTTGCAATCAGTGGACCGCGCCTTCTGTCAGACGCCGATCCTTTGGTGGCGTCGTGGATGAGGTGGGACTGCACCGTGACGGCGTGCTATCGTTTTCAGGGTCGTCTAACTCTGCTGGGTGCACCATCATCTCGTCACAACCACGCCTATGCGTCGAATGCTGCAACTTCAGTGAAAATGGTTAATAAGCACGTTGGAAGCTTCTGAAAGTTGTGCAGTTTGTGATACAACCTTCGTAAATGGTTTCGGAGTCATCGGTCGTGGGATCAGGAAGCACCCCGACATCCACACACGATCACATCGAAACCTAATCATGAATCGTCAGAAGCAATGTCTGCTTGTTGTCGACCGATTTGCCTCATTCGTCGCTGGCGGCAGGGCAGCGGATCAGGCTTCGTGGAGATGAGGATATGGAGAACAGCGTGCGTGGATTTTGTAGCACGAACGTGATTGCAGTGAAAACTGATACGTCTAATCCAGAAACATTACGTGGATTCACGACGACGTCGTGGGTTCGTGTTTCCTAGGTCAGGTGCCACACGTTACGACTTGTGTGTTGTTTTTTTAGTTAAGAGTTGGGCTCTGGTTCCAATCAGTGCGACAGAGTCAAGCATGCGTGGACTCTGCAAGTTTATGTATCCCATCTGATTGTTCGATGTGTCTGGGAAAATCTAATGGGTCTTGCAAAGCAACAACCTTTGTTTCACGAAAGATCCCAAAATGGTGTTATTTGCAGAGATCCTCAACACAGTTCGGTGGATCTGCAGGACTTCGCATTCGCATTAGTCCACTACTCTGCAAACTTGAGTTTGAACGGCATCGTCGTGACATACACCCTGAAGATTCATGAAAGATGGGTGGTTTGCTTTGAAAGGGTGAATGTGTTGCTTATGTTTCGAGAATGAAGGCGGCTCAACGAAGAAAAGCTCACTCTAGACCCTCTTTTTGTGTTGCAGAACTGTAAGTTTTCTGAAAAGTCGGTATCACAATTCGGTGAACCTTATTATTCTGTAACTATTAAGTTCTTTAATGTTAATTTTGGTTCTTTGACTATGATTTTCTTCTTTTGCTTTTCTAGTTTACCGTATCTGGAGAAATATATTTTTTTTAGGTGTTGTCGGTTTCATTGCTAAATACTGCATAGCTAATCGGAACAACCTTTTCGGAATATTCCAAGCCTTTCAAATTCTTAAATGTATGCAACTTGTCACTTAAAGTTTTGCTGCTTTTCAAACATGTGTTACAAAATTTGATTAGTTTATTGTGCTTGAGTTTTAAGGTAAGATTTGAGCTTTTCTTTGAAAGTTGTATTGGTTGTTTTTATGAATTCAATTCTAAACACAGAACATTCAGGCTTTCAAATTGATTTCACAAAATTAACTTTAACTATAAAACATTCAAGTTTTAATTCTTTCAGTTCCTTTTCCTTGTTATTTTATTTTGACTTTGCAAATAGTAAGTTTGAATTATTCTTCATTTCAATTTCTTCACACATCATAAGAAAATTCTCACAATCTATACATCATTTACAAAAGTTTTAGGATTTTATTTTTTATTTTTTTTATTTTTTATTTTTTATGTAAGCAATAAGAAAGATCATTAAATGTCTATAAAAATAATAAATATAACATATAAAAGACTCAATATATATATAATATTGAAATATATCATTTTTTCTTGATAGTTTAATATTGAACTATAAAATATAAAACTATCAAGAAAAAATATAAGATTGTATATATCTATATATAGAAATAGAGAGAAAAAATTATTAAATTAATCCAAATATTTACTAAATCAACCTACCCATCTTAACAATCATCAAAAAATTCTCCATTGCTTGATTTGTATTGGTTGAAAACTAGTGAAAAAATAGTTGGATCTTCAACTACTAATGATGGGTGGCTCAATTCAGTAAATGTCTTAGTCAATTTAATAATCTCCTATATGTATATATATATATATATATATATGTGATACAAAATTAGATATTTTATTGACTTGTTATTTTATAATATTGAATAAATAAATAAATAATATTTATAAATGTATGGATTGCAAACAAATCTTGTACTTGATTTTAATAGAATTGTAGTAATAGGTTATCTAATGTAATATATAATATTTTAACATACTTTACAAATCTAGTATGATGATACATATATATATATATATATATATATATAAATGAGGCATGCTATTCTATTAAATCCATTCTTAACTTTTTACAGGCCATCTTCAAACATATTATTACAGTATCCACCAACTTTTATAAAAGTCTTTAATTGATGTATGTCTTTTGTTAAATAAATCCAGTACATCATAAAAACAAATAAAATTATAAAATAATTCTTAAAAATTGTGATAAATTATGAATATGTATATATATATATTTATATATATATCACTTAAAATAAAAATATCTTGTTTAAAGCTATTAGAGAATACATTTTTATTATAAATTTAATGTTTTATATCTTATAGAATTAATTTTTATTTTTTAATTTTTTTATAATTTAGTTTAAAAAATATATCTGAATTAAAATTTTAACTTTTGATATTTTTTTAAAACTACATTATAATATATATATATATATATATATATATATATATAAGTTGATATTGATAATTTGTCAAATATCAAATATCAAAAATATCAGAATATCAAATATCAGAATATCAAAAATAATTTTTCATTTAAAAAATATTAACAGGGTAAATGTAAATATTTATAGGTATTAGTTTTAGTTAGACATATTTTTAAAATGAAAAGTTAAAAAAAAATCCATTTTTTTATAAGATATATTTATGATGTATAGATTTTAATGCAATAATCTTTTAAATAATTTAAAATTATAAACCTAAAATATAAAAGTTTTAAATCTTTTAATATTAGATTTAAATCAAATAACAGGTCAATAGTATTAACAGTGAAAACTTAATTATAAAGGTAATATTACATACAATTCAAAATTATAAATTTATTTATGATTTAAAATAATTAATTTGAGTCATTCATGCCCAAAAGTATTTTAAGAATAATAAACACACAAAAATAATATAATATTTTTTAAAAATATGTTTATTATTTAGAAAATAATCATCTTTAAAATCCAATTGTTCTTAGTTTCTAATTCACGTTAATAAAGATTCAATGATGAAGAATTGATATTTTTTTTACTTAGCACATACCACTGCACATTGTAAATAATCATATAATATTGACGTCATTAGACATTATTTTGTACTTTTTGTTTTTAATAGAACAATCATTTTGAGGTATGATTTACAAAGACATATGCTTATAAAGGTTTTACTTAATTTAATTACTTGGTTATTGAGTGGAAAATCTTGCTGTTTGAGAGATTTTGTTTTCATTTAAAACAATTAACATAATATATTGCATTTGTCGCAAACCACGTATGGATAGTACTTTGATATATTTCTTGTGTTCATTAAATCATAGTAGTATGCAAATATGGTAAAGGCTTCTTCAACAATTTTAGGATTCTAATCAGATTCATTTAAAGAAAAAATAATCGACTTATAAAATTTGAAAAATGTGTTGTGAGTGCTTTAAAAAAACGTAAGCCAAAAAATGGTATCTTAATTTGAAACAATAATTTCCAAATCCATTATATGAATTAATTACATTGTTAGCAATGTGCGCACAAACAGTTTTTTGAAATGTTTATCAAGTATTTTTTGATACAAGTCTAATTAGCACTTATTAATTATCACAAAGAACTCTTAAGTAATTCATTTTAGATAATATTATTTAAAACCTCGTGCAACAGTTGTATTTGAGTCAAAGTTTTACCTTGAGCAAAGTCAGAACAAGATACTTGTCAAAAAAAGTAGAACATATGCTTTAAACAAATGTATCTATAACAATATTAAAAAAATGGTAATATTAAGACAACCTAGCATTGTTTAAGGATTTAGCATATAAAAACAACAATAATAATAATAATATACAAAATTTTACATACTTATTAAAAATATCATTTTCAAATTTTATTACAAAGATTTTATGGTTGAAATTGCTTCTTTTTATTACATACACATGGTTTAGAGAGAGATACTTTTCAGTGATAGATAGAAATGCGTGTGGTTTGTTACACTGCTAAAGCATGAAGCTGAGTAAAAGTGTGTGTCTTTGTACTTATCTGGGGTGCTTGCTTCGCTTCTCAATGACAATTACTTGGCTGTGAAGATAGAAGAGGGAATGTCAGGTAGCGTCCACTGGGTTTTGTGTAATCCTAAAGGTTTACAGAATATTGGGGCTTTGTCGCGTGAAATCAACTCCCTCCACATCACTGACATATCGTCATAAAACCTTTCGATATGAAAACTCTAAGCTAGTTGATGAACACGAGCGCTGTGCACCAAATCCATCATAATCCATATGACAACTCTCGAACAATCATATTGTCTACAATTCACGTCCAGTATCATTCTACTGCACTTTCGCAAGCGTGAAAAACAGCCCCACGAAGAGATAATCAGTTGAAGCCTCTGGTTTCATTTGCTCTCCTGTATTCCTACCACGTATTGAAGTCATGTTATTCTCGTTGTCCGTCATATAATAGTAGGTTTCGAAGATTGAGACTGGAATTCAACCCTGGATGTGGTGGATTCTCTTCAGATTTGAATCAACTAGAACTCCGTCTCGTCTACGTTTCGTAAATTTGTCCAACGACAATTGGATCTGTTTCTCCGCCCGTGACGTCACTCTTGGCTGCTCCGATTGGTGTCAAACTAGCCTACCAACTTGGCGAAACTGGGTAGTGACGTTTTTAGGGTAAATTCGGTTGAGTTCTTAAGTGTCTCACAATGTGATTAAGGCAATGTCGAGCACTTTATGGTTTGCAAGTTTTGCTTTTTGCAGTTCAAACCCATTGCTTACCATGATTTCTGATGGAGACTCCTCTAGTGGCTGTGTCTGGGCTGCTCTATCGTATCGCAAGTTTAGCATTTAGTAATTATGCGAAGAAGAAATCGTATAATTTAGCATTTCATAAACTGTACAATTTTACTTTTCAATGAATTGTTGTTTGATGCAAAGATCGGGTCCATGGAAAATATAGATAGAGCACGACAGTTCATGAAGCAAATTCCTATGGAAAGAGCTTTGCACACTAATAACGGACTTGCGTCACAATCTGCTCCTAAGCAAGCCCGAAGTAGAAGATGTCAGAATTCTACTGTAGCTTCCATATGCGGTTCAGGCTCTGAATCTCCTAGTCAGTTTACCTTTGGCCCTGGAAAACAACATCATTTATCTGATGTTTATCCGCAAATCAAATTATCATGGACTTCCAAAGTTGATGACAGTAATTCTGCAGCCCTTTGAAATCACGTGAGTTATAAATCTGTTTGCAGATTTGTATAACAGATCTGATTCATCTCCAATGGTGAAAACAGTTGGGGTTGATGGTATTATCAAAGTGCATTAAGCGGTTGATGTGCAGTGCAGTACAAATCAGGAAATTCACAAGACTAAGAAGCTTATTTTGGAGATCAGGGACTATACCGAACTCAGCTATTTGTACTTGTTTCTCTTCACAAAGAGGTTCTTAATGCAATAGACTATTCTAGCTTGTATTGCATCAATTGTATATTTGGTACATGTAATCTCCTAACCAACCACTTCGAATCGCCTGCTGTGATGTTCGGAGCCTTCAAGAGCTGAATTGGTCTTTACTCGGCATGGCTACTTCAAACAATCCCCAACCTTCTGGGCATTTTTCAATTTACACTGACGAAGATTTATTATTGCCAACGACTGGTTTCATGTGAATATGCAATAACTCTGAAACACTTTACAAATATAGCTGCTGCAAATTTCTGGTGATAAATGAATTTCCAGCAATTCTCTTTTCTGGCACTTCAAGTTACCGTATTCGAAAACTCGAAGTGACCAAGCATTAATATCTTCATGTGCGTCTCCCCGTTTGTTCCTGTTTGGAAGATAGATTTTATGTGGTAGAGTTTCATGCAGGATGATCTAAAGTTTAAGGTGGAGTACGTGCATTCTTATGGAGACG